TCCCCGAGGGCAGATAAGAGCAAGCATTGTGACTACCACCGTGTATATGGTCACAATACAGAGGACTGCCAACACTTGAAGGACGAGTTAGAGTTTTTGGCTCGTAACGAGAAGCTAGAAGGGTATGTTTAGAAGCCTCATACCTAGCAACCCACTCAAACCCATTTTGTACAGGCGTACGATCGACCTCAAGGACAGGGGTACCAGCATAGAGGGACACAGGATGCATATCAGGATAACCAGTATCCTTCTGAACAGAGCAGAGCATACCGAGGACGTCCTTTCAACAGGAGAGGGCAGGTACCGAGAACTACCGCCCCGAATCAAAAAGATAGGAAAGGGGTAGGTTATGATGGGATACCCCCACCTTCTGGTACAATAAACATGATATCGGGTGGTGTTCACTCAGGGGGCCAGAGCGCCTGAGCTCGCAAGACATATGCCCGACAGGTGATGACCGTCAACAAAAATAGACCCTTGAAACGGCCGTTTGAGGAAGCAGAATGGGAAAACACGCCCATCACATTCAGCCCGGCAGATTATAAGCGAATAGAAGGAGAGCCCGACATTATGATGCCCCATGCAGATCCCTTTGTGGCAACAGTTCATATAGGTAATCATAATGTCAATAAGGTGTTTATTGACACTGGCAGTTCACCAGATATCCTATACTGGGGTTGCTTCCAGAAGATGCAGCTAAATCCGAGCTCGCTGCAGAAGCACGAAGGGCCAATATACGGGTTTGATAACCAGCCCGTCCCAGTTGAGGGAGTTATTACTCTTCCTATATATGTGGGCTCAGAACCGCGCTTCAGGATGGCTTCTGTCACCTTCCTGGTCGTTAAGATGGAATCAGCTTTCAATGCTATATTAGGAAGAGCCACCCTGTGCGAGCTGAAGACTGTCATCTCGCAACCCCATCTCTGCATGAAATTCCCAACTCCTCAGGGGGTAAGAGTGCTGAAGGGGAATCAAAAGATGGCTAGAGCCTGTTATCAAGATACGTTCAAGAAGGTCGAGCTCGCCACAACCCGGGCGGGTGTTGAAGCTCGCAAGCCAACCCAGCTCGGTCAACAGACAATGAGTATATCGGATATTGAGCATCGACCTGAGGGCGTTGAGTAGAAGGCAGAGCCAGTAGAGCCAGTGGAAACGGTGCCTTTAAACTCAGATGTGCCGGAAAGGACAGTGAAGATCGGCAC